CCCCATGATCTCAGTTAATGAGAGACTCCCCAAAATTAATGATGGGAGACCCCCATGATCTCAGTTAATGAGAGACTCCCCCAAAATTAATGATGGGAGACCCCCAAAATTAATGATGGGAGACCCCCATGATCTAAATTAATGATGTGGGACCCCCTAAAATTAATGATCAGAGACCCCCCCTGACTGCAGTTAATGAGAGACTCCCCAAAATTAATGATGGGAGACCCCCATGATCTCAATTAATGAGAAACTCCCCAAAATTAATGATGGGAGTCCCCCGTGATCTCAATTAATGAGAGACTCCCCAAAATTAATGATGGGAGACCCCCATGATCTCAGTTAATGAGAGACTCCCCAAAATTAACGATGGGGACCCCCATGGTCTCAATTAATGATGGAGACCCAATGGGTTCCTGTTCCAGATATCCCCAAATGGCTCCTGTTTTGGGGTCCTGGTCCCATTTTGAGTTTCCCGGTCCCATTTTGGGATTCCTGGCCTCGTTTTGGGGTTCCTGGTCCCATTTTGAGTTTCCTGGTCCCATTCTGGGATTCCTGGCCCCGTTTTGAGGTTCCTGGTCCCATTTTGAGATTCCCGGTTGTGTTTTGGGTTTCCTGGCCCCATTTTGGGTTTCCCGCTCCCATTTTGGGATTCCTGGCCCCGTTTTGGGGTTCCTGGCCCCGTTTTGGGGTTCCTGACCCCATTTTGGGTTTCCTGGCCCCATTTTGGAATTCCTGGTCCCGTTTTGGAGTTTCTGCTCCTGTTTTGGGATACCTGGCCCCATTTTGGGTTTCCCGGACCCATTTTGGGATACCTGACCCCATTTTGGCATTCCTGGCCCCATTTTGGCATTCCTGACCCCATTTTGGGATTCCCGGCCCCATTTTGGGATTCCTGGCCCCATTCTGGGATTCCTGGCCCCGTTTTGGGGTTCCTGACCCCCGGCTCCCGCAGGACCGGGCCTGGGCCCCACGATCCAGCTGGGCGAGCAGACGCTGATCACGGTGGACGCCAAGGCGGCCGGCAAGGGCAAGGTGACCTGCTCGGTGTGCACGCCCGACGGCTCCGAGGTGGACGTGGACGTGGTGGAGAACCCCGACGGCACCTTCGACATCTTCTACACCGCGCCCCAGCCCGGCAAATACGTCATCTGCGTCAGGTTCGGCGGGGAGCACATCCCCAACAGCCCCTTCCAGGTCATGGTGAGTGAGAAACGGGGAGAAAATGGGAAAAAACGGGGAGAAAATGGGAAAAAACAGGGTAAAATGGGAGAAAATGGGGTAAAAATGGGAAAAATGGGGAAAAATGGGGATATGGAGTGAGATCTGTGATCTACATGAGGTTCGGGGGGGAGCACATCCCCAACAGCCCCTTCCAGGTCATGGTGAGTGAGAAACGGGGAGAAAATGGGAAAAAACGGGGTAAGAGTAGGAGAAAATGGGGGAAAACGGGGTAAAAATGGAGTAAAAATGGGGAAAAATGGGGAAAAATGGGGATATGGAGTGAGATCTGTGATCTACGTGAGGTTCGGGGGGGAGCACATCCCCAACAGCCCCTTCCAGGTCATGGTGATTGAGAAATGGGGAGAAAATGGGGAAAAATGGGGAAAAAACAAGGAAAAAAATGGAAAAAAACAGGGTAAAAATGGGAAAAAATTGGGGAGAAAATGGGGATATGGAGTGAGATCTGTGACCTACGTGAGGTTCAGGGGGGAGCACATCCCCAACAGCCCCTTCCAGGTCATGGTGAGTGAGAAATGGGGAGAAACGGGGAGAAAATGGGAAAAATTGGGGAAAAAAAAGGGAAAAAATGGGAAAAAACAGGGTAAAAATGGGGAAAAAACAGGGAAAAATGGGGATATGGAGTGAGATCTGTGACCTACGTGAGGTTTGGGGGGGAGCACATCCCCAACAGCCCCTTCCAGGTCATGGTGAGTGAGAAACAGGATGAAACAGGGAGAAAATGGGAAAAAACTGAGAGAAAGTGGGAAAAAAACGGGGAGAAAACGGGAAAAAACAGGGTTAAATGGGAGAAAATGGGGTAAAAATGGGAATTATGGGGGTAAAAATGGGGAATTTTGTATGTTTTGGAGGGAGCAAATCCCCAGCAGCTGCTTCTAGGTCATGGTGAGTGGAGAAATGGGGAGAAAATGGGAAAAACGGGGGGAAAAGAGGGGATTTGGGGTAAAAAATTGGGGAAAATTAGGTAATAATTGTGGGGCTGGGGGGGAAAAAGGATCCCAAGCAGCCCCTTTCAGGTGATGGTGAGTGAAATGGGGAGAAAAGGGGAAAAATCAGGGAGAAACAGCGAAAATAGGGGAAAAATGGGGGAAAATAGAGGGGGGAAAATGGGGGAAAAATGGGGAAAAATGGGATAAAGAGGGGGGATGGGGAATTTGGGGTGCAGAGAGGGGCTGGGGGGTTGGGCTGCGCTGACCCTCGCTGCCCCCCAGGCCACGGACCGGCCGCTGCTGGGGGTCAACGGGCTGGACATGGCCGGGCTGCGGCCCTTCGACCTCGTCATCCCCTTCACCATCAAGAAGGGCGAGATCACGGGTGAGGGGGGACACCCCAGCTTGGGGGGGTGGGGGGTCCCCAAAACAGCCCTAAAATCGGGATGAAAATAGCTCAGAGTCAGGGCAAAATAGCTCTGAAAAGAGCCCCAAGATTCAGCCCGAAACCAGCCCGAAACCACATCAAAACCGGCTCGAAAATACCCTCAAAATCAGCCCAAAGCCACCTTAAAAACCAGCTCAAAACCACCTCAAAACCAGCCTGAAAATACCCTCAAAACCAGCCCAAAACCACCTCAAAATCAGCCCAAAAATACCCTCAAAACCAGCC